GAGAGTGGTTGGCCAGGCCCTCCCACAGCACAGCTCCTAAAGCCCAGTGCCAGCCCCCGCCGGGGCCAGGGCCCCTGCAGCCAGGCCTGGCCGCTGCTCACACAGGCCCAAGCTGAAATAGGGTGGCCTGAGCACAAAGCACTGTAGGACGTGGGACTGAGTGGGGTGGGAAATGGGGGCACCTGCTTGGCCCCCGAGCAGAGCTGCGGAGGGGCCTCATCCTCAGAGGATGGGGAGGGAATAACAGGGTGGGGTGTGGGGCGGGGAGGCGCCGCTGTCTCCCCAAAGGGCCGGGGAGTGCAAGGGAAGGCACGTGGCCCCACCTGTGGCCTGCAGGTCTCTGCAGCAGCTGAGCAGCCTCCAGCGTGTGGCAGAACAAGGCCCAAAAGTGAGCAGTGTGGAAGTACTTCAGCCACACCTGAGGGGCGAGAGGAGATGTGAAAGGGATGTGCCCTGCCCCGTGTCACGGAGTCCCTGGGCGATGCTGGAACTGCTCCCCATGAAGTCAGTCAGGACTCTGGGGTAGTCGCCTTTCTGTGAGCAGCCTGTCTTCAGGACACACAGCTCACCCGGCTTCCACCTTCCTGGGTCTGACCTCGGAGCATTCAGCATCCTCTGCCTCTCCGTGTGCTTCCCCCAGCGAGTCCGCTCAGGCGGGGCTCCTGGGGAAGCCAGAGGGTCCTGCACCCCAACTTCGCAGTCAGACGTGACTCTCAGCCAGCCAGTAAAACAGAAGGTTTATTAGACGACAGGAACATGGTCTAAAACAGAGCTTGCAGGTGCAGAGAACGGGACCCCTCAGCTGGGTCCATTTTGGGGGCAGTGAGCCAGACAACCACGTCTGCACTTCACTCCATGTCCCAGCCAGCCCCAAACTGAAACCCCTCCAGCCCCTCCTCCTCTGGGCTTTGTTCCTTTCCCGGGCCAGGTGGTCACCTGATTCCTTTGTTCTCCAACCCTTCAGCTCTCACCTTGCAGGGGGGGAAGGGCCCAGGCCATCAGTTGCCAGGAAACAGGGTGTCGGCCATTCTCTGTGTCCAGATCCCTGCACACACCTGCCCTCTAGGGCTCTGCAATGATCATACACCCTTACCCCACCACCTAGATACTTAAGAACTGCATAGGGGAAACTGAGGCACCCCCACACTATTCAGAGGAAACATTAAGAACAGGCCCACTTCGTCACACCCCGCGACCCCCAAGCCACAGGTCCCCCACCTGCAAGGGAACCAGAGCCCTCCCTCTGCCCCACCCAGCTCTGCCATCCACCCACTATTCCAGCCCTGCTCCCCTTTGCTAAGGCCCCCCCCGCACCCCCTACCACCCAGCTCCCCCAGCCCCAGTGCCTCCCCCATCCCACTACCCAGACCACCCAAATACTGCCCCCAGCCCCAGCACACCGCCTAGTCCCTCCAGCACACCACCCAGCCCCCCCGACACAGCACCTCCCCCAGCAGAAACTGCCCCCCCAGTGCTCCCAGCACACCACCAGCCCCCGCCCAGTCTCCCCAAAACACCACCCAGGGCTCATGCTACATGCCACAGTGCAGAGCGGCCCAGCGCAGCCTGCCGTCCCATTCATGGGAGGCTCGCCTGCGGTCCTGGGCGGGTCCTGCTAGCCACAGCAGGGCGCGGCTCAGGATCCCTGGTGGAAGGAGGAACGCAGGGGAGCTGGTGAGAGCGAGCTCGGTAGGGGGGCTCGGTGCAGCTGGGAAGTCACCGGCTCTCCCCTGCCGTGCCCAGGCAGCTGCTGGCAGTGATGGCAACCACTGTCCCCCTGGCAGCATGGAGCTTGGTCTCTGAGGCTCTGCCAGCCACCTTGCCCCAGCCCTGGCGGCGCCCGGCCAGGCCCAGTGCAGCCCACTCCACCCCTGCAGGCAGAAGCGCCACACCAGGCGGGCAGCGAGACTTTGGCAGCAGAGCCGCTGGAGCTGCAGAGAGGCCATAGCGGGAGAGGGGCTGAGGCAGGCCGCACTCCCTGCAAAAGGGTTCCCGGGGAACCTGGGCTCAGCTGGCCACCAGGGCAGAGAAATAGCCGGGCAGCAGGTAATGAGCAGCCTGGCCTGCGCTTGACAGGTCCTGGGGGAAGAGGGGCAGGGCTGCAGAGTTTAAAGGGGTATGGGAGCTAAGCCTGGGGGCCTGCCCTGGTGTGTGGTTCCAGGGGTAGAGGCCAGGCAAGGCAGCTAGCTAGCTGGTTGTTTTTCTGTTGGGTGCTATGCGGAGTGGCTGGTCTCCCTGCCCCTGCTAGGCCCAGCAGTGCTCAGCCCCATGGGCAGGGGCTGGGGTGTTGCTGGGAGCACTTCCCTGCCCACCTCTCCATTAGGGGTTGGAGCCTTGCAGGTGCTCCTGGCGTTCCTGAGTGTGGAGGGGTCAGGCTGGGGACTCGGCTACTTTGCCCATCTGCGGTGCTGGGAGTCACTGGCCACCAGAGCCCGCAAGACCCAACTTGTAGATCCAGAGCCACCCCCAAGTCTGGCAGCCTCAGGACACAGGAGCTGGATGAGCCCGAGTGGAGCTGGGGGAACAGAAGAGCAGCGGCCAGGCAGGGGCTGCCCACCTCGCTAGGCGTGAGGAGGCAGCTGGCCTCTCGAGCACCAGGTGAGTCCCAGAGCACCAGAGCACGGGGGGCTCTACGTGGGGAGGTGGTGCAGCGCAGGTGCTGAGCCGTTCCTCTGGGAGTGGGGCTCTGCAGGGGGCTCCATCCAGTCCAGACAGATCAGCAGCGAGTGCTACATGGGGGAGCCAGCTGGGAGAGGGATGGCAGGGAGCCGGGGGCGGGGGGCAGACACGAAGGGGTTAATAGGGCAGTGTACAGCGGGAGCCAGTCTCTGTCTGACCTGGCTAGGAGAGGGTTATCCATGCAGTTCGGTATTTGGTGCAGCTGTAGTCAGCCCATGCGTTACTGGGGATACACCAGGTTTGTTCCCATTCTCTGGTGTGGAAGGTAGGGCCCTGCCTGCCTAGGGCCTAGTGCTAGGTTAATATGGCCCTGCCTGCATGGTGGTGTTCGCAGTAGTGTCCCGGGCCCTGGGTGGGATCAGGGCCCCATTGCACTGGGTCTGGTGCTCACACGGAATAGCAATTGGGATTTAGTACAATGGGCAGCAGCCAGAGTCATCCTGGCTTTGAGCCTGGCTAATGGAACTCTGGCTGTCATCACCCACGTCCCTGTCCAATCCACTTCTGAGCCTTGCTAAGCGCATGGCCTTAGCAACACATTGTGGCAGTGAGTTCCACAGATCAATTGTTGGGTTTGAAAAAGCATTTCCTTGTCTCCATGTTCAGAGTGCTGCCCTGGAGTGTCCCTGCACTGGCCCTTGGTCTCATGTTGTAAGTGAGTGTGAGTGGTGATGCCTGAGTGCCCTTCTCCAAACTGTTCATCACTCCAGATCCCGCCATCTCACCCCCTTATTCACCTCTCTCTGAACATAGAATCTTAGGACTGGAAGGGACCTCAAGAGGTCATCGAGTCCAGTCCCCTGCACTCATGGCAGGACCAAGGATTATCTAGACCATCCCTGACAGGAGTTTGTCTAACCTACTCTTAAAAATCTGCAATGATGGAGATTCCACAACCTCCCTAGACAATTTATTCCAGTGCTTAACCACCCTGACAGGAAGTTTTTCCTAATGTCCAACCTAAACCGCCCTTGCTGCAATTTAAGCCCATTGCTTCTTGTCCTAGCCTCAGAGGTTAAGAAGAACAATTCTCCTCCCTCCTCCTTGCAACAACCTTTTATGTATTTGAAAACTGTTATCATGTCCCCTCTCAGTTTTCTCCAGACTAAACAAACCCAGTTTTTTTCAATCATCCCTCATAGGTCATGTTTTCTGGACCTTTAATAATTTTTGTTGCTTTTCTCTGGACTATCTCCAATTTGTCCACATCCTTCCTGAAATGTGACACCCAGAACTGGACACAATACTCCAGTTGAGGCCTAATCAGCGCGGAGTGGAGCGGAAGAATTACTTCTCATGTCTTGCTTACAACAGTCCTGCTAATACATCCCAGAATGATGTTCACTTTTTTTGCAACAGTGTTACACTATTGACTCATATTTAGCTTGTGATCCACTATGACCCCCAGATCCCTTTCTGCAGTACTCCTTCCTAGGAAGTCATTTCCCATTTTGTATGTGTGCAACCGATTGTTCCTTCCTAAGTCGAGTACTTTGCATTTGTCCTTATTGAATTTCATCCTATTTACTTCAGACCATTTCTCCAGTTTGTCCAGATCATTTTGAATTTTAATCCTATCCTCCAAACCACTTGCAACGCCTCCCAGCATGGTATCGTCCGCAAACTTTATAAGTGTACTCTCTATGCCATTATCTAAACCATTGATGAAGATATTGAACAGAGCTGGACCCAGAACTGATCCCTGCGGGACCCCACTCGTTATGCCTTTCCAGCATGACTGTGAACCACTGATAACTACTCTCTGGGAACAGTTTTCCAACCAGTTTTGCACCCACCTTATAGTAGCTTCATCTAGGTTGCATTTCCCTAGTTTGTTTATGAGAGGCTTATGTGAGACCATATCAAAGGCTTTACTAAAATCAAGATATACCATGTCTACCGCTTCCCCCCCATCCACAAGACTTTTACCCTGTCAAGGAAAGCTATCAGGTTGGTTTGACAGGGTTTGTTCTTGACAAACTCATGCTGACTGTTACTTATCACCTTATTATCTTCTAGGTGTTTGCAAATTGATTGCTTTATTTGCTCCATTATCTTTTTGGGTACAGAAGTTAAGCTGACTGGTCTGTAATTCCCTGGGTTGTCCTTATTTCCCTTTTTATAGATTGGCATTATATTTCCTACCTCCAGAAGGGCTGAAAAGAAGTCCTTTGTCCTGGTCAAAGGGTTCGAGTACCTTTATACCCACCCACCTCCGGGCTCTCTGGTTGTCTCTGCGGCCAATGAAAAGGACAAGCAGGGCACACCAGCTCAACTTTCCAAAATAAAGAGGCCAAAAGACGACCTTTTTGGGAGAAAAATTTATTCAGCAGCCAGCCTGCAATTCCGGGTGGCGAACCATCAGGCCCTCTTGGTCAGGTACAATTTTAACTTATGGGACTCCCTCCGTAAGTTCAAGGAGTCCCTCCCGCAGGGTTTGGCCCAAGAATTTGGCACCCTGGTGGAGGAGGGCACTGCGGCGGCTAGGTGCTCTCTCCAGATGCTGTGCGACTTGGCGGCTAGAGCGTTTGCGTCGGCGGTGGTCATGAGACGCAGCTCCTGGCTTCAGACCGCCGGCCTGTCCCACGAGATGCAGACCTCGATCCAGGGAATGGTCTAGTTTCGATGGGAACGATTCGATGGGAACGGTCTATTTTTGGAGCAGACTGATGCGAGGCTGTATGGGTTAAAGGACATTAAGGCCACCCTTCGCTTGCTGGGCATGCATATGCCGCAGTCTGCACGGAAGCAGTTCCAGCCAAGGCCGTGGCAGCCTCATCAAGGGTCTGCAAGGAGAAGGGATAGAGACACGACCTTTAGTTGCCGCCACCTTTCCTCCTCCCGCTCACCTGCACAGCCCAGCCTGGTGAATAAGCTTCTGGCCCCCGGCATGCTTCGTTTTGAAGGTGCACTCGAGAGCGACGCCCCAGTCAATTCCCCGGATCCACCTTGTTCTTTCCTCGACCATTTCGTCCCTATCGTTCGGCCTGGTCGCAGGTCACCTCGGACTGCTGGTTGCTGGACATAGTATCTCGGGGCTATACCCTGCAATTTTCAGCTGCCCTCTCTCCCACCCTTCCCTCCCCCATCCCTCTTCAGGGACTCTTCTCATGAGCAGCTCCGTGACCAAGAGGCTGAGAATTGCCTGTGTGTGGGGGCAGTGGAGGGGGTCCCACGGGACATGAAGGAAACAGGGTTCTATTCCCACTACTTCCTAATCCCAAAGGCAAAAGGGGGCCTCAGACCTGTTCTGGACCTGCGTGGCCGCAGCGAATCTCTCACAAAGTTGAAGTTTCACATGGTCTCCCAGGTCTCCATCATCCCTTCCCTGGATCTGGGAGACTGGTACACTGCCTTCGACTTGAAGAACCAAGGTCACAGACGTTTCATAGTGGGCGGACACCATTTCCAGTTGACAGCACTCCCTTTTGGCCTCTCATCGGCCCCGGGGGCATTCACAAAATGTGAACCTGAGACATTGAGGGATCCAGGTCTTCCCATATCTCGACAACTGGCTCCTCAGAGGCAGGTCTCGGGAGCAAGTGCAGAGGAGCCTCGATCTGGTGAGCTCCACCTGCGAGAACCTGGGCCTGTTAATAAACGAGAAAAAACCCACCTTAACGCTGGCCCAGGGAAGAGAGCTCCTTGGGGCAATGCTCGACTCCACACGAGCCAGAGCTTTCCTTCCGGAAGCACGTTTCCAGGCTGTGTCGGATCGGATCTCCCATGTAAACAGCCACCCGCTCACCGTGGCTCACGCCTGCCTGCGGTTGTTGGGCTTCATGGCCGCATGTACACACATGATCAATCGTGCCCGGCTCCATCTCCAGCCTCTGCAAGCGTGGCGGGCGCCAGTCCACACCCCCAACAGGAATGACCTGGACTGAGTAGTCCGGCTGCTGGATCACATTGGGTCATCCCTGGATTGGTGGTTGGACCCTGGCTCAGTGTTGGAGGGAGTTCCCTTTGTGACCCCTCCTCATCCCTGACTCTGGTCTCCAACGCTTCGGATCTGGGCTGCGGAGCCCACCTGTGCGAGCTAGGCACCTGGGGCTGCTGGTTGCGGGACAGTCTGGCCCTCCACATCAATGTCAGGGAGCTCAGAGCGGTTCGCCTGGCCTGCCAGGCTTTCTTGTCCCACCTGAAGGGCAAGGTGGTGCAGGTCCTGACTGACAGTACCGCCATGATTTATTACATTAACAGAAGGGGTGGTGCCAGGTCTTTGGGCATTTGTCAAGAAGCTCTCTGCCTTTGGGACTTCTGTGTGCGGCCAGCCATAGGCGTGCGCACGGGGTGTGCCGGGTGTGCCCAGGCACACCCTAATGCAGGGCAGGGCTCTGTGGGGCGGGGCTCTGCGCTGAGCCAAACGCTGCTAGGAGCCTCATGGTTAGGGGGGCCGGGGCGTTGGATAAGGGGCGGGGCAGTTGGGGGACGGGGAGCGGCGAGATGGGCTGTGGTGCCCATGGTCCACGGGTCGGCAATGTGGGGCGCTCTCCCCTCGGGGGCAGCTCCCCCCTCCCCAGCGTCCCTGTGCTGCGGAGAGTCTCGACAGAGGCAGGGCAGCTCCGCATGCTGCCTCCGTCGCCCCTCCCAGAGCTGACCCGGTTCCCAGCCCACCATGCCGGGAACCTGGGGGGAGTGGGGGGGTGCCAGAGCTGCCTGACTGCGCCTCCCCAGCAGGGAGGGGGAGGGAGCTGCAGGCAGAGAGAGCAGCAGGAGTCCGTCACTGTCAGACACAGATCGGGGGGGGGCACTGTGGGGGAAGACAAACAGATGGAGCCGGGGGCAGGAGAAAGGAGCAGCGATGGGCACCCCGGGGCTGGCATAAAATACACAGTACAGAGGGGGCTTCCTGCGGGGGGGGGGGTATAGCAACACTTCCTTCCCCCACAGACCAGACCCAGGCTGCAGCTGGCTCTGTCCATCACTCTTCCCCCCCCCCCCAGAGACCCACACAACCCTTTGCCCCCCTGGAAGATCCCCACCAGCCGCTGTGCCCCCATCACCCCTCTCCAGAGAGCCCCTCCCTTTGTGCCTCCAAAGACAGCTCCCCTGCCCCCTGCTCCTGAACTCCCTACGATCTCCCCCTTTGCCTTCCCTCTCCCGCCCCCAGCTCCACTGGCCAGGAGGCTCCCAGGCCGTTGGCCACCAAGGCCGATGGGAGCTGCACCTGAGGCAGGGGCCTCCTTGCAGACGGTGCCCCCACAGCATGGGGAGGGGGAGCCACAGGTGAGCAAACCCCGGTCACCGTCATCACAGGCCCAGCAATGCTCTGGGCATTTAATTTCACTGAGGCAAGTAATTCAATCGACTCTTCCTTTCCAGACAGTTTGTGGCTTTTCCTGTAAGAAAACTTACAATTTCTTTGCAAAGAAGTCCAGTTATAGTTTTTCACTTCAGAAGTATATTTTCTGATTGTTCATAAGCTCATTTATTTTGTTAACTCAGTTTCATAGGGAATTTTAAAAGTCACTTGAATTGTAACTGTTTTTTTCCATTGGTCCAAAAACACATGGAAGATGTTCAGATTTTTATTTCTGTGGGCCAAACCATGTAGAAATGTAAATGTCAGAGCTAGAAAAGCTCTGCAAGGGTATGGGTCCCTCAGGAAATTGTCCTCAAGTCATTCATTCTTCTGGGCACTCCATTCTATTGTTCCCTCTTACAGTGATAGAGATTGGTGTCTCCACCCTCAGGGGAGATGCAGAAGACTGGGCCAACCCTGCAGCCACTCTGCCTCCACCCTTGTTCTCTGTCTGTTGCCTCTACCAGCCCCTTTGGTCTCCCTGGGATTCCCCCTGCCATTCCTCCCTCTGGGTCTTCTCTCTCTAGGGAGCTTCTCATGAAGTAAAGCTGTCATTACAGGTTCTTATCTCTGTAATGTATTTAATTTTGATGTATTTATTAAGTGTTAATTAATGCACTATGGGAGTCCCCCTTCAGCCCTCTGTATAAATTGATCCTCTTCTTTCCATATGTTTTGCCCATAGGGTTTTCTGCAGCCCTAGGGCAGCCAGCAATAACCCCTGCGCCTTTGCAATGGGGTGAAGGAAGGGGACCATGAGATCCCTGTTTATGTGATTTGCAAGAAGTGTTATTACTCAGGGTACCAAATGTGTTTAAATGATATCAGTGCCTTGTAAAATCCCAAAGCAAGCTCATTTTCATTTCTCATATAATAATCTCATATACAGTATACACACATTTTTCAGTATGAGTTGATTTTATTATTCTTATTTTATTACTACTACTACTAATAATTAACTAGGTTACTGGAGTTTTTTTCAGTGTGGAAAATTGTGTGCTATTTTACAGGTTGAATGACATAATACCCTCCTACGTCCATCACTAAGTCCGATAACTTTGTCAAGTGTCTGTCACGCAACATGGTGGTGTCTAGCCCTGTCCCATTCTTCGGGGGACAAGGGGTCCAGGGCAGCCTGGGGAGTTAGTGGGGGGCCTGGTGCTGGCAGCAGCAAGAGACCTGGCCCCAGCCCGCTCTGCTCCACCCCACCGGCTCCCAGTGTTGCTCAGGGGCGGGGGTTTAGGGGAAGGGGTGGAGAGGTAGTGGTTGGGGGGGAGAAAGAGGTGGGGTGGGGTGGGGTGTGCTGGGGCCGGGTTGCTTGCTGGTGTCAGGCCCCCCGCTAAGCCCCCAGGCTGCCCTGTACCCTGTGTCCCCCTGAAGAATGGGACAGGGCTAGGAATCGGATCGGTCTTCCATGTTCCAGTTCTTTTACAAATCTATTCAATGCTTTGCAGTCTTACCTGTTACAAGCTGTTCATGTGAAAGAGCCTTTTTGAAACTAGTACATGTAAAAAACAAACAAACAAGTACAATGTCCCAACAGCGCTTTGACTCACTCTTGATTTTGTACATTGAACAAGAATTGGCTTCAACGATGTGATTGAGGAATTTAAGTCCGTAACACCTGGTGACTTACGTCTCATTCTCTAGGACAGGAAGATGAAGAAACCTTAATCTGTTCTGGTCAATTTGGGTTAGCTCATTATCTGGTTAAAGATAAAGAAAATTGAATGTATCTTTGTATACGCCTGGTTATCACTATAGCAAAAATTTGGTATTTTGTGTCTCATTTTTTAAGTTTGTATTTTTTAAGTAAAGTTTAGTTGTTGATTTAAAAAAAATTAACTTTAGTTAAGTTTTAGTTTCTTTAGTTTGTTTGATGAATAAAAATAATGTCCCTTATGACTGAGTATTCAATAGATGTTGACATTTAAAATAAAATAAAATAAAATAAAATTCCCTGGGTGTACACCTATGGGCAGGCCATTCATCTGGTAGCCACGTACCTGCCTGGAACCAGGAACATCTTGGTGGATAACCTCATGTGAAGTTATGGACTTGAACTGGGACCATATAGAACATGGTTGCAACCAAGGTCCTGTAGTGGCACAAAATCTTTTATAAAGAGGGTCAAATGAGGTGTCTCACACAAGGTTGTGGTTGACTGGTTAGGATGATGCTGTCTGTGTGTGTGTATCATTTTGTAGTTAAAGTTATGAATATTGGCTCTACACTGTCTGTTGTTCAAACTCTGCTTCTGGGTGACACCCCAGACAAGCTGGTGTCAGCTCTGCCTAGCCTGCTGGATGGCCCATTAAGGACCATCAGCGACACAACTGACCCACTGAGAGAAGGCAGACACGCCTTGGGGCTCAGCCAGGTGTGCATGGATCTGCCTATGGACAGAACTCTGAGGTGTTTCCAGGCCATGGGATGGGCAGCTTGGCCTTGGGACACAGAAAGCAGAGACCACATGGCAAGAGACTATTAAAAAGCTGCGGCATCTCCTCCATCTGGTCTTCAATCCTGCTTCCGACCTCTGGAGGGACTTGGCTACCAAGAACTTGGCCATTACTGGATGTCATTGATTCCATTTAACCAATTCTAGCTCTCATCTATATTTCCTTCCTTTTATGAATAAACCTTTAGATTTTAGAGACTAAAGGATGGGCAACAGCGTGATTGGTGGGTAAGATCTGATTTGTATATTGACCTGGGTCTGGGGCTTGGTCCTTTGGGCTCGAGAGAACCTTTTTTCTTTTCCTGGGGTATTGGTTTTCATAACCATTCGTCCCCATAACGAGTGGCACTGGTGGGGCTACTGGGAAACTGGAGCGTCTAAGGGAATTGCTTGTGTGACTTGTGGTTCGCCAGTGGGGTAAAACCAAAGTCCTCTCTGTCTGGCTGGTTTGGTTTGCCTTGGTGTGCAAAGGAACCCCAGCCTGGGGCTGTAACTGCCCTGCTTGAAGCAATTTGTCCTGAATTGGCACCCTCAGTTGGGTCCCACCAGAACCAGCCTCATTACACCTCATCAGAACCTTCTCATCTCACCACAAGTGGTCACTCCATCTGAATACGGTCAGCCTGATCTTCCTGAGGTGGAGGACTCGATAGGTGGACCTGTTTGCATCCAGGCAGAACAGAAAATGCCACGTGTTCGGTTTGATCCGGGGGATGGGCAGGGGCTCCCTATCAGACGCCTTTCTCATTCCGTGTTTGGGGGTGCTGATGTACGCCTTCCCGCAAGTGCCACTGACACACACAGTCCTTTGGAAGATCAGGCAAGACAGGACGAGAATTATCCTAACAGCCCCCGCATGGCCTTGCCAGCACTGGTTCGGCATGTTGCTGAGTCTTTTGGTAGCCGCCCCGGTGCAGCGGCCCCTCTGGCCGGATCTGCTGTCCCAGAACCACGTCAGCCTTTTGCACCTGAAGCTGGCAGTGCTGCAGTTGAGAGCTTGATTACCATATGGCTAAACACAGATGAACGGGCATGCTTGGCCCGTGTCCAGCAGGTCTTGCTGGGTAGCAGAAAACCCTCCACCAGAGCGACTTACCTGGCCAAATGGAAAAGGTTCACATGCTGGGTCTTGGAACAGCATATTCGGGCCGAGCAGGCCCCATTGCAGGAAATCCTGGATTATCTGATGCCCCTCAAACTCCAAAGTTTGTCCATGTCATCGATCAAGGTCCACCTGGCTGCTATCTCAGCTTTCCATCCTCTGTTCCAAGGCAGGTCGATCTTTGCTCACAACATGACGGCATGGTTTTTGAAAGGTCTGGAGCATGTCTACCTCATGTCTGGGATCCCATCTCTCCCTGGGACCTGAATCTCGTGCTGTTGAGACTCATGGGGTCTCCATTTGCGCTCTCTCCTGCTTCTCTCCTGGAAGGTCTTGTTCCTGGTGGCGATAATGTTGGCCCGCAGGGTGTCCAAGATCAGGGCGCTCACTTTGGAGACACCCTATACGGTCTTCTACGAGGATAAGGTCCAGCTGCGACCGCACCCAGCTTTTCTGCCCAAGGTCGTTTCTCAGTTTCATACTGGCCAGGACATTTACTTACCGGTCTTCTTTCCAAAGCCTCGTGCGTCAGATGAGGAGCAGAGGCTACACACCCTGGGCGTCAGGAGGGTGCTGGCCTTCTACATTGATAGAGCAAAGCTGTTCCGTAAATCAACCCAGTTGTTCGTTGCAGTGGCAGGCAGAATGAAAGGTCGTCCAGGGTCTGTTGGGAGGATTTTGGCCTGGATCATGGCCTGCATCCGCTACTGTTATGAGCTGGCGAAGGTGCCTCCGCTGGTGATCGTGACGGCTCACTTGACTAGGGCATAAGCATTGTCAGCAGCCTTCCTGGCACAGGTACCAATCCAGGAGATCTGCAGGGCCACTCCCTGGTCATCTGGCCACACGTTCGCGTCTCATTATGTGCTTACCCAGCAAGTTTGAGACAACACTGGCTTTTTGACCGTGAACTCCGAGCCCTCCTCCAGGGATATTGCTTGTGAGTCACCTCTTATGGAATCGACATGAGCAAGCACTCGAAGAAAAATAACCTACCTTTTTTCGTGACTGTTGTTCTTCGAGACGTGTTGCTCATGTCCATTCCATTACCCACCCTCCTGCCCCTCTGTCCGAGCTGCCGGTGAGAGGGTGCCTAATCTACCGATACATGAGTGCGACACTCAAGGGAGCGCCACAGCCAAGCCAAGCCTATGGATACCGCTAAGACAAAAATCTCTTATGACATGGATGCACACCTAGAACGGAATGGACATGAGCAACACATCTCGAAGAACAACAGTTACAAAAAGTAGGTAATCGTTTTCGCTTTTGAAATGAAAGCAGTCTCACATGACTCCAGGAGCTGGGGGTTTAAGAAAACACCTCAGGGACTGGAGCTTATCCTAAAGGAGACGGCTGTAATCTATCACGCAGATGTCTGCACTTGTAGGATGGGATAATCCAAGTGACTCGATTGCCCAGACCCTGCTCCACGCCGGAGAGCTGAGATGGTGACTCAGCAGCAGCCAGGGTTCATGGCTGACTGGTTCGTTCCTGTTTAAAGATGTTTGTACTGCCAGAGGGGAGGGGGTGGTGGCGGTTCTTTAAATCTGCAGGCAGGAGGGGGGGGACGGGCCTAGGCAGAAGCTCTGCAGTGAAGCAGAGCGAGAGAAAGAATCAGCTTTAGGGATTTACGCTGGTTCCTTATTCTGCTAAAGCTCCTTGTTCAGGGCTAGTCCGGGGGGAGGTGCACGGGGGCGGCAGGCAGGGCCGGGGGCCTCTCTGGGGGAGGCGCGCGGAGGGTGACACCCGGCCCCGAACATTGGTGGAGCCGAGGCCCGGGGGCCTGAATTTGCTGGAGCCCAGGCACACCGGGCCCATACAACTCTCTGCCCCTGGCTGGACCTCCCTGCTGCCAGAGACGGGTGTCTGAGCATTCACGTTTCTATGGCAACAGCGGGCCCCTGAATAGATTGATGTCAATTTCCACCCGAGGAGGTCACTAAAATATCTCTGTTTCCATGGCAAGGGGGGAGACCCTGCCGGGGCCAGTGGCTGTGCCCGAGCCCAACAGCAGGGGGCGCTGCAGGACTGGCGTGGGAGCGGGAGGGTGCGGGCCAGTGGCAGGGCGGGGACCCAAGAGCTGCAGAGTGGGGCTGGGGCCCTCACCACTGCTCTGCAGGAAGGGAGGTGCCAGGGCTGGGGGGAGCAGGGGGAGCGGCTGGTCAGGCCTGGAGGCTTTGACAAGGATGGGAGGGAGCCAGGACTGGCAGCGCTACGGAGCCCCCAGCCAACGAGAGGCAACGCGTTGCTGCCAAGCCTGGCTCTCGGGCTGCCTGCCCGTGGCCTTCCTTCCATGGCCCGTGTCCAGGCTCCCCCAGCCTGCTGCTCCCGGCACCCAGGCAGCCTCTGGCTCCCTCCTGCGCCTGGTGCCCGCAGGCGTCTACTTCCCTTCCCTTGGCCCTCTCCGGCCGGAGGCTGCACGGGCTAGCTGCTGAGCTGGCTGACGTAGGGCTGGGCCCTGGCCCGCCCCTGCCCTCGCCCCAGCCAGGGCCCAGCAATGAGGGGCAGGTTGGCTGCAATAATTCTCCTCTCAGGCTGTGCTGTGGGAGCAGACAGACCTGGGTGGACCTAGCCCAGTCTGGTGCCATAAGTACAGGGTTAGGCAATGTAGTCTGAGTGGTGCATGGTAAAGAGAACAGCCCCCAGCCCTGACCCCCACCCCATACCCCTCAGTCTCTCGCAGCTGTGACAATCCCCAATCCTCCCAGCCCTAACCCCCCACCACTCCAACCTCCCAAGCCCCGTAGCCCAGCATAACAAACCAGCCTTCCTGGTGCCCTTGCCCTGACCCCCCCACCCCTCCAGCCTGTTGTGTGTGCCTGCCCACAATGGGGGAACACTGAGCCAGCCCTGGGGTAGACAAAGGCTGCTCTCTCGCGTGTGTCTTCACACAGGACACTCTGCCAGGCTGGACGTCCAGCCCCCACGGGGGCCAGTGCCAAGATTCGGGGCACAGGAGGCTCCCTAGCGAGCAGTGAAATCTGGTGCCGCAGGGGTCAGTGTTCAAACCCAGGCTGCCGGCAGCACCAGCACCTGCCTGTTCATGGGCTCAGCTGGCCTCGCACACACGTGGCCGCATCCTTCTCTGGGGCTGTGCTCTCATTTCCTTACACACCCACTGAGCCAGGCAACCTTGAGCCCCAGGGCAGGACTACGTCTGCGTTAGGCTCTATTTTAATCACAGAGGTCTCAGCCATTCTCCCCTGCGGGGGCCTGATCCCACCCCCAGGACTGAGGGAGGCACCAACCTCCCAGGCGAAAGGAAAGGGAGCAATTGTGCTGATTGCCGCTGTGGTGAACCGGGGGGGGCCTCAGCCTGTCTCTGGGGCTCCCCTCAGCCATGGCAAACCCGGCCTGAGCCCCCCAGCCCCTCCCATTCCCGGGGCTCCCCTCAGCCATGGCAAACCTACCCTGCGCCCCCTCCCTGGGGCCAGCCCCCCCCATTCCCGGGGCTCCCCTCAGCCATGGCAAACCCACCCTGCGCCCCCTCCCTGGGGCCAGCCCCCCCCATTCCCGGGGCGCCCCTCAACCATGGCAAACCCCTCCTGCGCCCCCCCCCAGTCCCTCCCATTCCCGGGGCTCCCCTCAGCCATGGCAAACCCCGCCTGTGCCCCTTCCTGGGGCCAGCCCCCCCCATTCCCAGGGCTCCCCTCAGCCATGGCAAAACCACCCTGCGCCCCTCCCTGGGGCCAGCCCCCACCACATTCCCGGGGCTCCCCTCAGCCATGGCAAACCCGCCCTGCGCCCCTCCCTGGGGCCAGCCCCCCCCCCATTCCCGGGGCTCCCCTCAGCCATGGCAACCCCGCCCTGCGCCCCTCCCTGGGGCCAGCCCCCCCCGGGCATTCCCGGGGCTCCCCTCAGCCATGGCAAACCCGCCCTGCGCCCCTCCCTGGGGCCAGCCCCCCCTCCCATTCCCGGGGCTCCCCTCAGCCATGGCAACCCCGCCCTGCGCCCCTCCCTGGGGCCAGCCCCCCCCGGGCATTCCCGGGGCTCCCCTCAGCCATGGCAAACCCGCCCTGCACCCCTCTCTGGGGCCAGCCCCCCCCCATTCCTGGGGCTCCCCTCAGCCATGGCAAACCCCGCCTGTGCCCCTCCCTGGGGCCAGCCCCCCCACATTCCCGGGGCTCCCCTCAGCCATGGCAAAACCGCCCTGTGCCCCCTCCCTGGGGCCAGCCCCCCCACAGTCCCGGGGCTCCCCTCAGCCATGGCAAACCCGCCCTGTGCCCCTCCCTGGGGCCAGCCCCCCCCATTCCCGGGGCGCCCCTCAAGTATGGCAAACCCGCCCTGCGCCCCTCCCTGGGGCCAGCCCCCCCACATTCCCGGGGCTCCCCTCAGCCATGGCAAACCCGCCCTGCGCCCCTCCCTGGGGCCAGCCCCCCCCTTCCCATTCCCGGGGCTCCCCTCAGCCATGGAAAACCCCGCCTGTGCCCCTCCCTGGGGCCAGCCCCCCCTCCCGCATTCCTGGGGCTCCCCTCAGCCATGGCAAAACCGCCCTGCGCCCTCCCCAGCCCCTCCCATTCCCGGGGCTCCCCTCAGCCATGGCAAACCCGGCCTGCAGCCCCTCCCTGGGGCCAGCCCCCCCCCATTCCCGGGGCTCCCCATGACCATGGCAAACCCGGCCTGCGCCCCTCCCTGGGGCCAGCCCCCCCCCCATTCCCAGGGCTCCCCATAACCATGGATAACCCGCCCTGCGCCCCTCACTGGGGCCCCGCAGCCAGCCCCTGCCCCGTCCCTGCTGATTCCCCTCAGCTAACACCCTGATGCCGTGACACACCCTGCACACACAGGGGTCTGGGCCTGGCTGGCTCAGGTAGTCCAGCACCGGGGCGTGTGGGTCCGGCCATGGCTCCTATTGGCACCGATGCTGGGCTCCCACCCGGCCTAGCCGTGCGTGCCGTAGCCTGGCACAGCTGCTTACAGGGAGGCGTTCCTAGCTCCGCCCTTTGGTCGTGATGCCCCCGGTCCCACCGCGCTGGGCGCTGAGTGCAGCCTGGCTGCTCTGCGCCGCTAGCCAGTGGTTACTCACCCATGCGTCCCTTACATCTCAGGCCCTCCAGCCCCAGAGCATCTGGTCTCACGGTGCATTGCAGCCTGGCCGGGCCTGGGGCAGGCCGTGGCACTGCCCTGCACAGCGCTGGGGCTAGCGACAGCAGGAGAAATAATGACAATTAATGACTAATTGCTCTTGTCCACACACCCAACAAGCTGTCTCTAGCCCCCTGGTGCTGAAGGACCAGGGGGCGAAGCCAGGGACCCACATGCCACAGCTGCAAGGCATGCCTGTCCTCGCCGAGATGGGACTTGGGGTGTGTGTGGGGGGTGAGGGTCCTGTCTTTTTCCCTTGGTGCATTGGCTGCATAAGCACATTCCTATGAAATTCAGCGCTGCGCGATGCCCCGAGATGGCCGTAGCCCCTCCCAGCCACATCATTAGCACCGTGGTAAATCAGGAAAAGCCCTGGAGAGCAGTAGGCCCATGAGACCTGCATGCAAGGGCCTGTGTCCCCAGGGCAGAGACACAGCCCCTTGCTTGGCTCAGGACCCCAGCTCTGGCTCACCAGGCCTGAGCAATCACTGGCGGCGAGTCAGGCCCCATGAGTGGTTTCTATGGAAACCCTGTTCGAAATTACATTAAAAAGAAATTAAATCAGCAGCTTTTCTGCTTGGCAAGAAAGTGGGGGGCAGTGGAAGGAGGCAAATGGGAGTGGGGGGAGACATGGGGGGGGGGCGCAGGGGTGTGATTTGTGATGGGGCTAGAGGGCAATTCCCCTCTCCCACCTTGGTTTGCCCCCCCCCCATTATCTTTCACTCCCCTCTCACCCAGTTGTTGCAGGCGATAACATAATTAACTCTAATGCTGTATATGATGGCACAATCCCCCCCCCAACCGCACACACACATGATTTTGTCTGACTGATGCCTAGGAGTGGTGGGGGAGAGACAGGGTGATTGGGATAATAAATGGGGGGGGCAGTGAGACGGGGGGGCAGCGCCAGTGGGGGATGGGCAAGCATGCCCACCATTGCCTCCGCCCCCCGCACAGAGCGTGATGCAGGACGCTGCAGCCCAGCTGGTTGGTGCAGGGTGCTGCAGGGCACTGGCAGATCCTGCTTTTCACAGTGCTCGTTGCGAGGGGTGGGGCACAAACACCAGGGTCCATTTGGGGCATAGGAACATCCAGTCCTGTTCTCCCATGTGGGGCCAGCTCGCAGCAGGGAGATCTCAGGGAGCTGGAACTCTGGCGGCTCATGCCACCCAGAGGTGCCTGGGACTTGGCTGCTGGGCCACATGCCCTGCCCCCACCCCAGAGATGCGCCAGGCCCCCAGCCAGCACGGTGCTGGCAGGTCCCTTCGTGGAGGGTGTGACGTTACTGACGTAACCGGTAACCGTACAGATCATTGCTGCAACCACGGTTATATATTTGCAGAAAGAACAGGAGGACTTGTGGCACCTTAGAGACTAACCCATTTATTTGAGCATAAGCTTTCGTGAGTTACAGCTCACTTCATCGGATGCGAATGCTCAAATAAATGGGTTAGTCTCTGAGGTGCCACAAGTCCTCCTGTTCTTTTTGCAAATACAGACTAACACGGCTGCTACTCTGAAACCTGCTATATATTTGCAGCAAATATTGTACAAAGGTTGTTGTGTAAGGTGTCTATGGAAAGGTTATAATTTGCTGATTATGATTATGCTATCTGTATGGGTGTATCATTTTTGTAGTTGAAGTTATGAATATTGGCTATGTACTTGTATCACAAAAAGAAAAGGAGGACTTGTGGCACCTTAGAGACTAACCAATTTATTTGAGCATAAGCTTTCCTGAACTACAGCTCACTTCATCCAGTGTGTTTTGTGTATCTCAGTGTGTTTTGTTTCTAAGTAGCTTCAGTGAAGCATTTGGTCAGCTTCTTGAGAAGGGACCAGTCTCAGCAAGTGCCCAGTCAAGAAACACTTAGCTGTCTATGAAATTTGGGAGATGCCAATCCACATCTGAGCCTTCCTGAGAAAGTTCAAACTAACATGTAAACAATGGCGTGGGCCTGTAAAGAACTGAGCCAGGCATGGACCTGTGACTTGCCCATGTGACTCCAGACTCCATCTTGCTGTGATCTTGCAGGGGAGAACCAAGGGGTTTCCACCCACAAAAGAAAGAATATAAAAGGCTGCTGCAGCTCCTCCATTTTTGTCTTCACTCCTGCTTCTTGCCTCTGGCAGAACTTTGCTACACGCTGCAGTGCTGAACGAAGGTCTGAGGACCCCTCCCAGCTGGGGATGTTCTCCAGAGACTGGATTTGAACCTGCCGTTTATTCCATCACTGCTGCAAGCCTGAACCAAGAAGCTGGCCATTACTGGATGTCATTGATTCCATTTCACCAGTTCTCGCTCTCGTCTCTAGCTTTTCCCTTCTATGAATAAATCTTTAGATTTTAGAGACTAAAGGATGGGCAACAGTGTGATTTGTGGGTAAGAGCTGATTTGTATATTGACCTGGGTCTGGGGCTTGGTCCTTTGGGATGGAGGGAACCTTTTTTCTTTTACTGGGGTGTTCATTTTCATCACCATTTGTGCCCATAACGAGGGGCACTGGTGGGGCTACTGGGAAACTGGAGCGTCTAAGGGAATTGCTTGTGTGACTTGTGGTTAGCCAGTGGGGTAAAACCAAAGTCCTCTCTGTCTGTCTGGTTTGGTTTGCCTTGGTGTGCAAAGGAACCCCAGCCTTGGGCTGTAACTGCCCTGCTTGAAGCAATTTGTCCTGAATTGGTCCTTTCAGTTGGGTCCCACCCAAGCCAGCATCCTTACAGAGGACTCCCCAGAGCAGCTGGCCCTGGCTGCTCCGTGAGCAGGGAGCCCCAGCAGAGAGGGGAAAGCCACTTAGCAGCTTCAGCACTGCCTGGGGCACCACCAGTGGGGCCCTGCCCACTGGCCCTAGGGGCTGCTGCGCTGCAAGGCTTTGGAGCTGGGCTGTCAGAGGATGGATGGGCCAGTGGGCTGGGCACTAGCCTTGAACTAAGACTCCCAGGGTGCCCTTGGGCCTCTCGGGCTCAGGCCCCGGCTGTATGGTGGAGGGGGTTGCCCTGCCCTGAAGGGTACAGGGGATGGGCTCAGCAGAGTAGGGGAGTCACCTGGGAACTGCCAGCACAGTGCTATAGACAGACACTGCCCCTGTTGGGCAAAGCCTGGTCTGACCCTGACTACTGGGGTGTAGCCAAGGCTAGGGACCCACCCTGCCCGAGCCGTCCACCTTCTCTGAGCTGCCAGTGGCCAATTGCCTGATGCCTACTTGCCCAGCACCCGTGATTGCTGGAAGCGGTGGGGGGCAGATGCCAGGGTGGTGGAACGGGGGAGGAGTGGGAATATTGCGGCATGTTGCTGGATGGGTCCACCCAGGCTGGGGCAGCAAGAAGGGACCTGGAGGGGCTGGAGCAGCTGCAGCGGTGCCCGGGAGTGGGCTGGGGAGTGTACGAGGTGTAAGACACTGGACCCCCCTGCCCCAACCTGCAGCCAGCTGCCACCCCATGGCTCAGGAGCTCCCCTCCCGCCCCATGCAGACCCCCCCGCTCCCCTTCTTAGCCCCCCATGCAAAGCCAGCATCTGCTGCCAATGGCGCTGTCTGAGGGCTGCCCCCAGGCCCCTGGTGGCAAACCAGGCACAAGGCCTGTGTAGCTGGGGCTGGTAAATGCCAATGAACCCCCATGCTGGGCTGTGGTTGCCCAGTCCCTGGCCTGGCTTTGGGAATCCTGCCTTGTCCCCCGCTAGACTCTGGTGGCCTCCGCCAGCTGGCCTTTGAGACTCCTCCCCTGGCCTCCCACACAGCTCACAGGATGCCACACTATTCAAAATAGCATTTGTTTTATTTGGAGTTTGTTACTCTGCGCAGGTGATGGTATAAATACATTCTGCACTCAGCACAGCTCTGCCCAGGCCCCCCTCCTACCCGAGACCCTGCATCGCCTGTTTTCCCCTGGTGTCCTGCTTTGCCCCCACATGCCCTCCCTGCCCCAAGGCCCTGCTCTGCCCGTTTCTGGGGAGATATCCCCTACATTGCCCTCAATGGCATGAAATGGGGAACGCACACTTGGCCGACCATCTCACAATGGGCCTGGCCTGGCTCTGGTCTCCTTTGACCCAATTGGGATGGGGCAGGAGGAAATAGGTCACAGAGCCCTGCGGGGAGGAGAGGACTCAGGCCCTGGGGGGGCGGGATCAGGTGGCAGAGCCCTGGGGTGGGAGTCAGGCCCTGCGGGGGAGGGGCAGAGAGCAGAGCCCAAGGGTGGCGGGAGGGTGGGGGGCAGATCCAGGGGAAGGGAGGCGCATGGCCGCAGCTCTGGCTTGGTCCTGTGGAGCGAGCGAAGCGTGCCCATGTCAGCCAGCAGCCATGCAGGGGGAGGCAGGAGCGGCCTAGCCATAGGCGCAGAATCTGCAGCCCCCCATCCTTAGGCCGAGCCTGCTCTGCGGAGCTGCTGGGGGAGTGGGTTAGCCCCTGGCCTCTCACTGGCTGGGGCCCAACCCCTGCACCCCCCGAGCCCGCTTGTGTCCGGACACTGATGCCTGGAGCCATGCTGCATCAGCTCGCATGTGGGCAGGCGCTGCCTCAGGGTGCCTCTGCCAGGGCCCCCCTCCCCTTGGCACCCTAGGGCGCATCCTCGGGCACAGCCATGGTGTACAGTTCACTGCTCCCGTGCATGGAGGGAATGGCCAAGGGCAGCTTGTGTCCAACAGCCCGGGTTCAACGCAGCCATGGGTCTCTCCCCCTCCAGGGCGATAGCTGTGTTTAGGCTCGAGGGCTGCTCCCCCGGGGCTGCCCCATGCAGAGTCCTCCAGTGCTGAGAATGGAAGAAACTCATATCACCCCAACTTTACCCAGCTGTGCTACATGTTCCTGCTAGCCCAGCCCTGGGCTCCCCCACAGCCCTGACAGTGCCCCTCCATCCTGCCCCACAGACCTGGCCACTCCTGAATGGTGACTGCTAGAACATTGAGGTCTTTCTGGGAGGTAGAGAAGTGTCTAGCAAGGACTGAGCTGAGATGTCAATAAAACTTATCCTGAGCCCCACATACTGTGTGACCCCCCCCACACCATTCACTGCACTACTCAAGTAGGTGGCCCCCTCCCCCGGCACGACCTGAGTCCTCTCCACACCAGGCTGGGTGAGCCAGGGCTCTCCTGTGCAGCTGGCTGACCCCGTGTCCCTGCACTGACCAACAGCAGCTCCCACAGGTGCAGAGTGGAGCCAGAGGCACAAGGCAGGGACAGAGGCAACGTGGCAGGCAACAGGGCTGGCGAAGGATGGGAGCAGCAATGGGACTGGCGGAGGGCAGTAAGATATGGCAATGGCAGTGGTGAAAAACATCAAGAGTTGCAGAGGATTGCGGGGAGGGGAGCTGGCAGAAGACTGGTGTTGCGGGGGGAGCCGTAGAGGACTGGGGCAGGGCTGGCAGAGGACGGGGGCAGGGATGTGGGGGAGCTGGCAGAGGATGAGGTGGGGGGGAGCCAGCAGAGGATGGTGGGGAGGGGAAGCTGGCAGAGGATGGGGTGGGAGGGGACTGGCAGGAGGTGGGGGAGCTGGCAGAGGATGGTGGGGAGGGGGCTGACAGGGGCCGGGGGCGGGGCCGGCAGAGGACGGGGGAGTTGGCAGAGGATGGCGGGGAGGGGGCCGGCAGGGGATGGGGCGGGGGAGTTGGCAGAGGAGGAGCCGGTGGAGCTGGGCGGTGGGGTAGCCAGCGGATGATTGGGATGGAGGGGCATTAACAGGATTTAGCAGTGAGGTGGCGGTGTAGCAAGGTATCAGTGAAGGGGTAGGGGTCCTAGGCTGGGCGGTGCGGTGGGGACGAGGCGTGTGACGGGTGGCAATGGCTGTTGGCAGCGCAGAACGACTATCACAGACTTGGGCCATAGCACACAAGTTATTTGGCTGAAGTACACAGACATGAACAACTGGGGAGGGGAAATATCAAAAATAGAAAAGAGGGCTGCATGGCAGTCCCGTGGGTACGTGCCCTGCCGGCCCAGGCTGCTGGTTTGGTGGCATGGCACAGATGGTCTCTCTTGGGAAGGCAGCGAGCGGGGGCCTGGCTGATGGGAGCAGCGTGGCACACGCTGAGATTCTAACTGGCTTTTTTACTTTATATCAAGAACACCTGGTTTAAAATCTTTACAAAGGACAAAACGCAGCGACTCTGTTAGTGTGTAAAGAACTAAAGATCTGCTTAAAAACATCTCTGCAAAGAGACACGACCGACACAAAAGAGATTCTCTGCAGCAAGAGGAGCAGAGGTGCTGACCCCCACACCTAGGGTTGGCCTGCCAGACTGGGCACTGAACCCTCGCCCCCCCCAGTGCCAGACCAAGCACCAAGCCCTCACCCCCACCCCCCAGCGCCAGACCGGGCACCAAGCCCTGCCCACCCCCCCCAGCACCAGACTGGGCACCGAGCTCCTCCGCCCAGTGCCAGACCAGGCACTGAACCCCCGCCTGCCCGGGGCTGGACCAGGCACCGAACCCCCCTGCCCAGCGCCGGACTGGGCACTGAGTCCACCCACCCAGCAACAACCCGGGCACTGAGCCCACCCACCAGTGCCAGTGGTCCAAGGCAGCTGCTTCACACCACAATTTGATAGAGTGCTGGAGCCTTTTCCATGGCACTTTGAATGGCAAATTTCAATCAACCCCACAGGTCCAATGGAAAGAGAATGCCAAGGACAGCTCCTAGCCAGTCCCCAATGTACTTGGGCAGTAGGGAAGAGGGCTCCGGGAGGCACCACCTCCCCAGGGGTGCAGAGTCCTCTAGTGCCATGTACAGGCCAGGGGGCAGGCGCGCCATCACCTCCTCCCCAGGCGAGTCCTTCTCACTGTCCTGCACGGGGGTTTCCAGTGGGATGCAGCATGCAGGGCTGCGTGACGCTCTCTGCACCTGCTCTGCTGTCCGTTCTCCTGCACCACTCTGGCTGGGCCCTGCTGCCCTGGCGTCAGCCCTCTCTGCACATGGAGAGTCAAAGCACTTTACAAAATAAGAACAACAAAATAAAGAGCGAGCCGGAGGGGCGAGCAGCCCATCTGTCTCGCACCAGGGGTCCTGCCGGCCCTGGGGCTCTGCTCCGCCCTGCCCCGCCAGGTGGGTCCATCTGTGTGTGCTGCCCAGTCTGCATCCGTCAGCTCCCGCAGCCCCAACCTGTGTCCCCGGTGTGCGTGGGTGTGTGCGGGCATGGGTGGGCACAGCCCCTGGAGCTATACCCTGGTGGTGGAGTGTGAGTGCGGGAGCCCCGTACTGTTGAACCCTGATGCAAAGGTGTTGTAGGGGTGCAGGGTCTGCAGGCCCACCAGGGAGTTGGGGATCATGGTGATGGTGTTGGGGGTCATCAGAGGGATGTCGTCTGGGGAGCGGCGGAGGGTCAGCGTGTAGTCGGGCAGGGAGGTGAGCCGCAGGGCGTCGTGCACCTGCCCTGACTCGCATTCGTGATGGGCCTGGTTCATCTGCAGGGAGGGGATCTCCTCCTCAGGCGTGTGGCCAATGTCGTTGGGGGCGCTGCGCTGGGGGCTGGGCTGGCGGTGTGTGTCCTGCCGGCGCTTGTCCTTGCGGTAGTAGAGTGCGGCGAAGGCCAGCACGTTGAGGAAGAGCAGGGAGGCGCCCACAGCGATGGTGACGCTCAGCTCGGTGGAGTAGTCCCGGGGGTTCTCGATCAGCAGTGTCCCAGCCTCCTGCTCCGGGCTCCACTTCTCCCTGGGGTTCTCGCTGTTGTAAGCTGGGGAGATGGCTGGACGCTTGGTAGTCCAGATTTTGCCGTTGGGCCGGCGGGTGATGTGTGAGTTCTGCGTGGCGTCTGGTGGTGGCACTTTGGTGGTGGTCGAGGTGTAGTGGAACATGTCGTGCAGGTTGTACAGGTGGGGCACCAGGTGCTTCCAGAAGGCCACCTTGGTGGCTCGGTAGTGGTCTCGCACTCTTGGCTTCAGGCCAATGTGCAGGTACAGCTGGTCGCGAGGGTTGTACTTGGACCACGCCACTTCCTCAAAACGGTTGGCCTTGGTGTGAATGAACTTGGTGTCCTGGGGGACAGGCTTGTTGGGGTCCCTGGGAAACACAACAGAAACCGTCCATGTGGCACTGGAGAAGCACGTAGAGACAGGGCGCTGCACAGAGCTCTGTGGGAGAGCCATACTCAGACAGGGCCCAGCCCGGGCTTGGTTTGCCCATTGGAAGAGACCCTACCAATGCCCTAGAGCCCCGGACAGCGCAGAACAGCCCTTGCTGGTGTTCATCAATCCTGACCCACAGCCCCTGCTGGCCCAGCTCCGCCAATGCTCCTTGATTCTGACCTCGGTTCTCATGCTTCCCCTCATTGCCATAGCTGGGCACCTGACTGTAGTAGGGGACTCCTGCGCAGACAGTGAAAGGGGTGAATGTGTAACGTGGGCTTAAGCTAAACCCACCCCCATCCCGGCTCTTGTGAAATCTCCGTTGGATTCAGCCCTCCAGAATGGCAAGTAGGTGCCTGACCCAGCTGAGCACCAGGCTGCTCCAGTCAGAGCTGAGTGGGCTACGCTAACCCAGTGCAGTGTAGCAACCCCCTCCGAATGGCACCCATGTCTCTGCTCGTGGGATTTCCCAGCATCCTCGCAGTGCCTCAAGAAATGTCACCCCTCCAAGGCTCTGCCTGTGCAGAAGGCTCCGCAGTGATGCCCGCCCCCCTGAGGAGTTCCTGTCAGGGCAGGATCCTCACCCTAATGCCTGACTCCTGGCCCCAGAATACGGTAGGGCCCCGCATGCCCCAGAGAGAGGGTGCGCACACACAGGGAGGGAGCATGTGCACATACAGTGCGGGGAGGGAGGGCATGCATAAACACACACACACACACAGGGAAGTGTGTGACCGAATGCACCCCTGCATTCACACCCTACACATCACTGTAATAATCTTCGTACAAAATATGCCTTATGAGGTATCATTTGAAAACTAGTAACTCACTGGTCAATAATACAATGGTGACATGTGCAGCCACATTCTATGTAAAGTTAGGAACATAAGATGAAATTACGACTGAAATGTGTTTACCAGACAAGTCTGGGGAGGGGGTAAGCCTGTTTCTCAAAGACACTGTTGCCAGGTGTCATCAAAGTTGATTGGCCATCACCAGTTACCTGGCCATTCTTTGGCCATGTCTAGCTCATTAAGCCTTAGTTACTGGAAAGTGTTTTAGCTTTATTTCTCTCGTAACCATTTCTCATGTTACTACCTTACACCTGTATTCTTTCTTAAAATCTAGCTCTCTGTAGTTAAATAAATAGGTTTGTGTTTTTAAGCAGACCTAATCCAGTGCTGTGTTGACACTGAATACCAATTAAAGTAGCAAACTGTTGTGCACTGACCCCTTACAGGGGCAATGGACCTCTAATATCTGAGTTGCCCAGGAAAGAACTGGATGGTGCAGAAGACACGTTTTGGGAGAAAATTCAGGACTGGCTGTGTGTCAGGGTCACCCTACAGGTAGCAACCAAGGCTGTGGCTGAGTGTGGCTGGGGGATGAGTGCTGCTAGACCAGGGCTCCAGCTACCCACTGTGACGTTATTGACATAATCTGGGACCGTACAGATCATTGTTGCAACCAAGGTCCTGTAGTGGCACAAAATCTTGTATAAAGGGGGTCAAATAAGGTGTCTAAGACAAGGTTATAGTTTGCTGGTTATGATTATGCTATCTGTATGCATGTATCATTTTTGTATTTAAAGATATAAGTATTGGCTCTGTACTGTCTGTAGTTCAAATTTGTGCTGTGCTTCTGGGTGACACCCCAGACAAGCTGGTGTCAGCTCTGCCTAGCCTGCTGGGTGGCCCATTAAGGACCATCAGCGACACAACTGACCCATTGAGAGAAGGCAGACACGCCTGGGGACTCAGCCAGGTATGCAGGGACCTGCCTAGGGACAGAACTCTGAGGTGTTTCCAGGCCATGGGATGGGCAGCTTGTCCTTGGGACACAGAAAGCAGAGACCACATGGCAAGAGACTATAGAAAGCTGCTGCAGCTCCTCCAGCTGGTCTTCAATCCTGCTTCTGACCTCCGGAGGGACTCGGCTACACTGAAGCTTTGAACAAAGGACTGAAAGACCCATCCCAGCTGGGGATGTTCTCCAGAGACTGGATTTGAACCTGCCGTTTATTCCATCACTGCTGCAAGCCTGAACCAAGAAGCTGGCCATTACTGGATGTCACTGATTCCATTGAACCAATTCTAGCTCTCATCTATATTTCCTCCCTTTTATGAATAAACCTTTAGATTTTAGAGTCTAAAGGATGGGCAACAGCGTGATTGGTGGGTAAGATCTGATTTGTATACTGACCTGGGTCTGGGGCTTGGTCCTTTGGGCTCGAGAGAACCTTTTTTCTTTTCCTGGGGTATTGGTTTTCATAACCATTCGTCCCCATAACGAGTGGCCCTGGTGGGGCTACTGGGAAACTGGAGCGTCTAAGGGAATTGCTTGTGTGACTTGTGGTTCGCCAGTGGGGTAAAACCAAAGTCCTCTCTGTCTGGCTTGTTTGATTTGCCTTAGAGGTGGAAAACCCCCAGCCTTGGGCTGTAACTGTCCTATTTTAAGCAATTTGTCCTGCATTGACACTCTCAGTTGGGTCCTGCCAGAACCAGCATCGTTACACACACAAACACTCTGGGTGTGCCCTGCACGCTGGTGGCTGGTTGTGAGAGGGAGCTGTAACAGCAAAGCGTGTTGAGACCCCCCCAGGTTATGGGGCTGATGGTGACACAACACTTATTAGTCTGGATTGCACCCCAGAGTGTGAGTGTGCAAACACACGCACACACAGAGGGAAGATCTGCAGACACACTCTCCTGCCACACTAACACAAAAGCTGAGTGAGGCTCACGCACGCACACACACGGGAGTGCCTGTGGACACACCCAGGGACAGGGCACACGCACACACCCAGAGGGATGGCACGCACACATCCCCCCCGGGGAAGGGAGGTGCGCAACCAAACGTGCGCAGGGAGACGCGCACGCTCACACCCAGGTCCAGGGAGATGCACACAACCCCCTCCACTCACAGGAAGCACGCACATACACACATCTGGGGAGGGCAAGCACACAAACACACACACAGAGGGATGGCATGCACACACGCATGTGTGCAGACATACACAGGGAGGTGGACAGACACACACACAGGCCCAGGGAGGGCTCAGCATCCCTCACCCAGTCTTGGCGAAGTTGGTCCAGTACGTCATCACCACGGCACTGAGCATGACGTCATTTTTGGAGAAGTTGCAAGGGAAGAGGTCAGTGGGGCCAATCATGGGGATCCCGAAGACATAAGGCACCTCATCTCCATGGGCCGCGTCAGACCATGGGGGCTTCATGAGGCTCTGGCAGTGATGGTAGAAGGCGTAGAAGTAGGTTGGGGACCCGTAGCGGGCATGCAGGTCAGCCGTCACCACTGACGGCTCCACCCACTGGTGGTCAGTGAACAGGGCCACCAGGGTTTTGCGGCGTGTCTCAGGGTTGTCCCTGTCTGCCCAGTCTGTGTACATGAACTTGATGGTCTCCCGCAAAGTGTCCTTCCCCTCTGGGTAGCCATACAGGTTATCCACAAAGTTGGAGACAGAGTAGTCAAAGTCACTGCCTGAGACACCATCCTCAGGATCCACCACACCCTCCACAAACTTCAGCCCCTCACCCTGGTTCACCCCCAGCATGATGTCATAGTTCAGGAACTCGCCCTGCTCCATCAGGATCTCAGGGTCATCCGGGATGACATCTCCATCGATGACGGGCCCGAAGGCCACGTGGTAGCGGGCTGGCTGGATATCTTGCTCCACCAGCTCCTTGGCACTCTTCTGTCGCAGACAATCCACCATGTCCACAGTGTCCAGCACGTTGCAGCCCACCTTGTCGGCCAGCAGGCTGGTATACTTCACAGGCTGGTAGTTGACTGCCCAGCTGGAGAGGGCAGAGCCGCTCTGGATGATGGCTCTTTGGAAGAGACCTGCAGGCAAAGAGGAGCATGAATGGCAGCTCATGGCAGGGGCACTCTAGGCACAGCACAGAAGGGGCTAACCAGCTCCTCTGTGTAGGAGCCCCCAAACACACAATCATCTCACATGGGGGGATAGAAGCAGGGGCCATAGCTTCAGGAGAGGCCCTTGATGATGCAGGACTGGACCCTGGGGGGCATGGGACATTGCCTGCAGGCCTCTTCCTGCTCTCCTTCTCTTGGTGTGGCAAGAGTGAGATGTGAGTCTGACTGATGGGCACCTAAAGGCTCTCTAATGCAGAGCCCCATGGGCAGCTTGCCTCAGGGCTACATCTAATGCAGCGTCCCCCAGGCCCCAACAATCACAGGAACTTCTCAAAAGTCTAAGTCATGGGTTTGGTCTGTCCGCCCCCCGTGCCTGAGACAATTACAGCGCTGCCAGTGATTTTGGTCCCAGGCCCACTGCGCTAGGTGCTGTAAAACACAGTCAGTGTCTCCTCTGCAACAGGCTGAGTTTATACAAGCAGCTAAGAGAGTAACTCGCTGCAGAGGGGAAACGTGCACCTCACCAATTCCACTTAGCACAGCCAGACAAGCTGCAGCAGGGGGCAGAGCTCCCTGGGGGGCTGGGCACAGACACACGTCTACACTGTCTCCGCCTGCGTTTGTTAGCACTTCCCTTCAAAGCAGCAGGAGTACAGAGCTGCAGGCACGCAAGGTACAGTGGGACCATGCCTGAGGCCTGCAGCAGCAGCCTGCTCAGTGCTACACAGCTGGGGCCTGGCCCCACGGGGCCTACAGGCAAAGCAGAAAACAGAGCTGCTATGGCCTGGAAGGGGGTGATGCTCCTGCCCTGCTGCAGTCCAGCAGCCTCCCGCCCACCTGTCTTGAATAGAGCTCGTGATGGCACCAGAGAATCCCTCCAGCTGCTCTGCCCTGGCACGACCCTTCACAGTGTTGGTAGCTGGCAGAGCTAAGCTTGTGCTAGGGCAGCTTAACCCTGCATGTCCCATTCAGCTGCTCCCTCTGGGTACCATCACTCTCCCCCCGTCCCCCACGACATACTTCCTGCCCAGCTGGGCCCAGCTGGCTGCCAATGCAGGCCTCGCAGGGCACAAAGGAGGCCTTTCTGCTGGAGGGAACACAGGAGGGAGTGGACTCTTGCCCTGGAAAGCAGGGCCACAAAGGCAGTGGAATGCATGGCCAAACTCCAGCTCCACATCAATGGAACTTGTGCTCAGAATACAAAGGGCTCCCAGGAAATGGAGCCTGCGGGGGCTGAGATGGGAGGAGACGGGGCTTGGAGTGCACACCCTGGGGCTCTCTGCTCCTCCGCCTGCTCAGGCCACGAGAGCCCTGGGGGAGCTGAGAGCTCAGCCCCTCTGGGACCTGGCCCAACGGGGATCTTGCTGTGTCCCCCATGCTGCCAACCCAACTCTGTCGTGGCACCTGCCAGCAGCGCAATGGCGACAGGACTAAGGTGACATGGCAGCTTCCCGACACCTGTCCTACCAACTACCATTAACCTCCCTGGGCCAGCATACCTTCTGTGTGGCACCAGGGAACTGTCCAGCTCAGCTCCCCGGCCAGGGGTCCTACTGGGAGCAGCAGGAGGGAGCAGGGCTGCTTGGACTACAGGGGACCCTTTGGAGACTGGGATTCCCACCTGGGATTGGCCCAGGGGCCCCGCTTGCCCAGGTGCCAGACTCTGACACTACCGGCGGCTGCTGGTCTTGGCCTTTTCCATAGCAGGCCTGCCCCCACCTAGCTAGGACTTAGCCAGCACGCCCTCCATTCGGCACAAAGGGAAGGGGGCAAGGGGCTGTGATCCCTTGACACTTGTTCCCTAGCTCCAGCGCAGAAGCCCTTCTCTAGCTAGTGTTGGAGGAAGCTGCTTCCCAGCCCCAGCCAGTCTGAGCTCTGGCTGAGGCTGGACGCTGGAGGGTACCAGGTCCACGATGCCCATCCAGGAGCATGGGTATGTGTAAAGGCACTGTGACCATCCTTACCCATGCCACCCCCAATCTTCACCTTGTTCTCTGCTGCTCCAGCAGCCCCACTGAGTCTCTTGCAGGCTCCTGATTGTATGCGCTCAGAAAAGAGATTTGTTTTTCTTTCTATTTGTGCTTCACAACCCTGTACACACAGATTTTTGTGCCAATATAATGGTGGGGGGGAAGTAACTTTTTAACAACATACTTCTACCAGCACGCTCCCAAGGGTGGCTCAGTTAGCCAGGTAGCGAACATGCCACAGGCAGCTCATCCCCTGCCCATCCAGGAACAGCTATCCCAGGACAAGGCTGTACTGCTTACACTGGACACGTGCAGCGTAGGCATCTTTGTGTGCAGACAAGCCCTTAGCCTTCTAATGTCCACCATTCCTCTGCCCTTGTTTACGCTCCTACCTCTTGACCCCATCTGGGCTGGATTCCTGGTTTGCCTTTTAGCCTGACTAGGTTCTCTCTTGCCTTCCTGCGTTCTTGCCTGGGCAGAGATTCACCTGTTGCTGCAACTCCCTCCTGGCTGTGGAAACACTTTCCTTGCGAACGCTGAGGATTTTAATGTGTAAATGTGTTTTCTGACGTGCTCCCTCCTGGTTTGAAAAGCTCCACTCTACAGCCAGTGCACAGGGGCAACCCCGCGCCCAGGATACTGAGCTGCCGTATATGGAATGCTACCAATTCCTCCGTTCCTGCTGTGCCTTCCCCCTGCACTGAGAGGGGGCAGGCTCCAACCCCGGGGGGATGGCTACGCGGCAATCCCAGCTGCCATTGCAGCAGAGGTAACAATAACAGTGAAGACGCAATTCCAGGGTCTGTAGCTCCTGCGCCCTCACTGCTCTGTTTAGCCATGTTAGTGCAGTTACACCGGCAAGTGCTGCAGTCACACGTGGGCTGCAGCCCCTACACAGGGAGAGCAAATTTACAAGGAAAATAGTCAAAATGTCCTTTGGGCCAACAGAGGCCGGTCTGAGACCAGAGCCGGCTTCCCTCCACAACGCACCACGCCCCTCCCCACCCTCAGCCACATGAATGAACCACAGTCGCTGTGGCCTACCGTTTGCTGAATGGGAACTCAGACAGCATGCCGCCCACAGTATTTTGCCATCCTCCCCAAGGCTCACAAGCACATGCAGCATTCTGGCACGCAGCAGTTTACATTGTGGGAGCAGATCTCAACAGGTCCCAAGAGCCTGGGCGGTGAGAACTCACTCAGCAGGGCAGGCTGGGCTAGTGCCCAGCTCAGCAGACACTGCCGATGGCGGGAGCTTCACGGTGGCAAACAGGAACAGGCTTTCTTGGAATTTCTTTGGGTTTTTTAAATTACAGAAAGAAAAGTCTGAATAAGTGGAGACGAGGGTGTCCAGAGCCTCAGAGCAAGGGACTGCTTTCCAGGACTCTTAACCACATCCCAATGGAATAGGGCTGGGCTTTCCCCCACGTGTGGCATCTGCAGGGGTACACCGTGCCATCTGGTTAGTGACCAGCTGGCTTTCAGGGTCCACACGCAGAGTTAGGAGGGGCCTAGGCACGCAATTGCTCTGGGCAGGGGGACCGGAACTGCCACTTCTGGGATTAGTTTTGCATGACAAAAACATGTACTGGTGTTTGGGGAGCAACGGCACATGTGGGCACTGGGGTTGACTTGGTTGAGCTTCTGACCCTCTCGTGCTTTGCAGGGCAGGGAGCATTTACTGCTTCAGATGACTTGGTGCCAGAAGTTGAATATTGTTTTCTATACATCAGTGGGCAGGGGAACCACCCCGGTGCTCAGTGGCTATCAGCACTGGAGCCCTTGGGCACACAGAGGGTTTCTTTGCAGGGGAACCAGCCTGGTTCTGCTCAGCGGCTGTTGGTGCTGGAGGCCCTGGGCACACAGGAGGTTGGTTCATGGGTTGCCAGGGGACTGTGCCAGTCAGCGTTACTGGCTGTTCACTCCCATAAAGCGGAAGCAGTGGGCTTGTGCTGTTGAATGTTTTCAGCTGTACTTCTCTGGAGGGCTGGCTCAAACTCATGGTTTCTTTATAGCTTAGAGGTCCACGGAGCTTCCCCTTGTAAAGCCAGCTCGAGGCCCCCAAGGGATTGTATTTGGAGGGCCAGGGATGTCTGATTTAAGATATGTTCAGTTACTGTCTTGGTAAGAACATGGGGGTTGGGGTTTCTCGAGACGTGCGGATGGTCACTGTCAGTACATCTCAGCAGTAACTGTCTTTCCTTGGCAGGAGGGTGTCAGGGGCTGGGGCTGGAGAGGGGGTGGAGCACAGGGAGCGGTAGGATAGGAGAATTTACATTATTGAAGACAAAATGAAACCACCCCAGAAGTATGTGGGCAGTGCCTGCTAGCCCTTCCCCATGCCACATCCATCTTGGGAGCTGTCGTGCATTGGCCAGGCCCTGGCGAGCTGCTGCCCTCAAAACACTAGGGCTTGGGCTGCACTTTGAAAATGATGCCAACCTAGCTCTGCTGCTCCGAGCTGTGATAATGTCACGCTGAGTGCTGTGGGTTAGGGCGACCTAGTGCCCCCGTGGAGATGCGGCGAGGTTGACGGAAGGTTTTTTCCATCACCCAGAGGTGGGTTACCTACACTGACAGAAACCCCCCTCTGGCGCTGTAGGAAGCATCTACACTTCAGCGCTACAGCAGCACGCTTGCAGTACCGTGGTTTTGCCCCTGTAGTATAGACAGACCCTAGTTCTGAACTCTCAGGCTGTTGTTTCCAGGAGGTGTAACCCTCGTGTGGGTGAGGCAGGCTCTTTATCTTGGTGCTGGGGGGATGGGGTGGGGCTCCCAGGCTGTGGGGGCCGTTCCAGGGGGACTCTCGGGTCCCTGACTGATGTGTATGGTGCAGAGGACAGGGTGTTTTACTCCTCTGCCTGCATGGCTGCCTGGGATAGCTGCCGTCTATTTTCTCAGCCACTCTTGTTTGCGGCAGCTTTAAGGTTCTGGCTGCCAGACGGGGTTGGGAGCGGTTTTAAAATCTATGCAGCAGCAATTACCCTCCTGCTTGTT